CCCCCCCCCCCCACCTACATATCAGACATTATAGCTATGATGTGTTTTTATATGTTATTCTTTTTTCTTGATGATCTAAGGTTCGAAGACGATTGGAATGTCGAATCCGGGTCTTCTTCGTTCTGCAAATCTGTATATAGATTGGTCGTATGAGTATGGTTGAGTACTTGTTGCGTTGTATTGTAGGGGATTGAGTATGGGAGGGGGAGGAGGTACTGTGGGTGTATCGAGCTTTATAGCCAGGGAAAAGAATGGGGAGTAGCGGTGCCGACACAAGCATTTCTGTTCTCCCCGAGAGATTTACGAAAAGGGTTCGACGGTTGAGAACCCATACACTTAGGTGGGGGGGGGAAGATAATAGGTACGAGGGAGGTAGGTAAATAGGTAGGCAGGCAGGTAGAATCATCCCATTCAGCATCGCAACCTCAACGCGCTCGAAAGAATTTTGAACAGCCATCCATGCAATCGTACCTACTCCACATAAGCAGCGCAGCGCAGCGCAGCATCAGCAGCTAGCTAGCCCGCCTCCGACAACAACACCCACCACCAAAACAATCCTCCCCCTTTTCCCCCTCAACCCCAACAAACCCTCACCTCACGCCCAAGCAACCCACCCCACTAATTCTTCTTCCTCGAGCTCGCCTGCCGCGTCACCCGGCCTGTCGTCGTAGCAGACGGAGCCCCCTGCTGCTGCTCTTGCTGGTCTTCCTTCTCGACCGCCGCATCCTCCTTCGCCTCCTTCTCCTTCTTGGAGGCAGAGGGAGCCGCCTTAAAACTCGCCAGCTCCTGCGCCTCCTTCCGCTCGGCATACCACTGACCCGCCTGCAAGACCAGCACGCCCACCAGCACCAGCGCCAGGATCGTGTTACTGGCCGCGAGGACCTTCAGCGAGTCCTCGCGACCGAGGATCTGGCCTTCCTCGGCGGGCGCGTCACCCCCCGCAGTAGCGGCAGCGGCGGTGGTCGCAGCGAGGAGATCATCGCCGTAGGTGCCCGCGCTGACCAACCGCAAGCCCTTCACGATGTTTGCAATGTACACCGTCACGCCGCACATGTACAGCACCAGACTGGCGCCGTCGAAGAGCATATTGCTCTCCGAGGGGCGGTAGAGCTTGGTCACGAGGCCGGCCAACCCCAAAAAGATGACGATGTGGAGGATGCGCGGGATGAGGGGCGGGGAGGCGTGCAGGAAGCGGAGGTGGGATTCAAAGTAGTCGAAGTGCGTGGCGGGCGTCGGGGTCGTGGACCACAGGATCGGGTAGTCGTAGGGGAAGAGGGAGAAGATGATGCCGAGGAAGAAGCTGATGGCTGTGGTGTTTGAAATGTCAAGTCAGTGTCTGGTTTGTTGAAAGGGCGATATGTCCTCTCTGATGGTGGTCGTGATGGGGGTGAACTGGGAAGATATTTGGATTGCTGCTTACGGCACACAATGAGAAAGGTCGCAAAGGACCCGTTGCGGAAAGCCATGACTGCAAGCTTGGAAGTGCTCCGATGCGAACACTACGTCGAGCAACGGACTGACAAGGAGTGGAAACAAAGGTGATTTTCTGCCCTGTGTTTTGTGGTGGGTTGATCGCGACAGAAAGCAAGATCAGCCAGCCCGAGCGAAGAGAGAGGATGCGAAAGTGCAGTGGACGGACGGACAGTCGGTGGCTTCCGGAGGTTGAGAGACAAACCCGGCTTGGGGCTTGGCGCGTCTTTCCCCCTCAAAACCAGAAAGGCCCAAATGTTCTTAGCTTCTTATGCTTATCAGCCACACCACGCCGCCTTATCAATGACTTTGTTTTGTTTTGCTGTTCCTTCGTATCGTCTCTTCCCTCCATATCCCATCCCATCCCATCCCCTGGCCGCGATAAGCCAACTTTTTAGTCACTATCTCCAACTTGTATGAAATGTATGAAACTTTATGAAATGTAATGAATGAATAAAAAAAATCACAAAAACTTAAATGGTATCTCCCGGTAGCCCCGCAATGCAATAGACTCAATCAGAGGAAAATGAAACAAGGAAAACATGCTCCCTAGGCCAATTCGTTCATCGCTGATACCGCGGTAATGACTCGTCGCCATGCGCCATGCCACCCACCAAGTGATGGTCTTCTTCCCCGTCATGAAAAACCGGCGCCGTGGGTGCGTCACCCGACTCAGCTGGTGCTCCATCCATGTCCTCGGGCGCACTGGCCTGCGCCATCAGTCGCCGTCGCTCCAGCTCTTGTTTATCATCTCCCGTCTGCGCCGCCTCGTTGGCAGCCATGGCGCTACTGCCAGGCACTACCGTCTGCATTGACTCAGCGGAGATGGCCGGGCGCGGGGTGGGATTCTCGATTGGTGAAGGCAGATGATGGTAATCCTGGAGGTGGTCGTCTTCCGGCAGCACTGGAGCCGTAGGCATGGCCATGTCCGACGATCCGACTCCTGGGTCATCCTCAAGAGGCTGACTAGGGAGAAGCATCTGCTCAGCACGCTGTAACCGTGTCTTTTCATCCATCGGCTCTTCCGAAAGAGGGGTGAACGCCATCTCGCCGAGCGATTGATACGACTGCAGCTCATCCCCATATCCTGGTCCCGGATACTCAGGCCAATTTGACGAATCTTGAGGGTACGCCTGATCTTCGCGATACTCCGTCTCACCGTTGGGCTGCGAATAATTCGGCTCATTTGGCCATACTTCTCGCTCAGTGATGGAACTGCCCTGCGAAGGCTCATCTGGTCCTGGCGCCACTGACGGCGCAGATTCCGCCGGTTTGACTCCCCGCTGCGAATCTCGCGTGCCAATCACGACCTCAAACACGACTGCCACAACACCTTTCTCGCGCCGAATTTGGTCCGTGTCGAGGATATTACCCGACCAGTTGGCTGTGATTGCACTGTTGTTGACATCGGCCGGGTTCAGCACTTGTCCACTGGGCGAATAATTACCACCCGAGGTGACCATATTGAACCGCGGCAGAAACCGATCGGGAGAAGTGAGCTTCCCCCGAAGATCGACCACAACCTCGACATAGTATCGGAAATTGATCATGCTTCCTGGGGTACGCGTGATGGTGGGAAAGGTATCTTCGGGTACACGGATCGAGGTCTTGATGATGGCCGTCATGGTCACCGGATCCACTATAAGAGGTGCAAAGGTCTGCGTCAAATCTTTGCGAAAGACCCCCGTGGTGCGACTAGAGCCAAGGGTTAGACCACCCAGGCCCGTCCGAGAGCGTGGATAGTAGTCCTCATAGACGGGTTTCTTTCCGTCCGGTTTGCCCATAGGAATCGCCGGATGCAAATCGATCCGTCCCTGACGGTAAAGGGTTACGATTATACCATGCGCGCTGCGCACTTGTTTGCAATGGTTGATGGTGACCATGATAGGTAATGTATCTCCTGGCAGCACGCCCGCGCGCAAAACTTCGGCCTTGGCGGTGATTATACCATCCGTCACCGATGGGGTGATGCTCCGCGCCTCACTATTGCGCATTCCGGTGCTGGTCGACGAGCTTGGATCGCTGGGAACTCGAAAGCTCTGGCTGCTGTTGCTCGGTCGACTGGAGGAGCTAACGTTGCTGGGTGCCGGACTGAGCGGCGGGCGATTGTCGGTCGAGCTCTCGCCATTTTCTGGGGGATCGAGCGATTGCGTATCGGGCGCGTCAGATCCTGCTGACTTGGCCTTCGCTTTGGACTTGGCGCGTCGGGAGACTGGCTCGAGGGTGACAATTCGAGGTTTGGGGCGAGGAAAGGGGGCAATATCAATGTTTTCCAACACAGTGACGCGTCGTCGGCAGGTGGAGGTCGGATTAATCGTGGTCGGCTTGGTTAGGGTGGACGTAAGCATGTAGGAGATGGTCCCTCGTTCGAACTGCGTACGAGTCAGGAGATCAGCATCGGCCACTTTCAGTGGGTCGGTTATTTGTCGCAAGGCACTTACATTGATGCTGCTGGGTAGCGCATACGGTGGGAACGACATCTCGAAGCGGAACTTGTAGACACCCTCCTTGAGACGACCCTCCCCGCACAGGACGACCTCATCCTCAAACAAGGTTGACAAGCCATTTCCCAAGTATTCCGCCCCTCGACGCCCGCGTCCGGGACCCAGAAAGCCCAACTCTGGTGATGACTCCCCCGTTGGGACGGTGTTTTTGTAAACCTTGACATAGCCATGCAGACAAACGACGAGATGTGTGATGCGAACGGGGCGAACAACGGTTAGCACGACTGTGCCGGTGATGGTGTCACCTGGAAAGTAGGAACGCCAGGGATCGTCAGGCTCAATGTAGAAGTCGGTGATGCTGCGATTTCGAGGGCCGAGTTGGGAGCGGAATTTGGCTAGGAGGGAGCTGCTATTCCGACGGAGCGTCGAGGAAGGTCGAGAAGGGAGAGGGTTGACGGACATGACACACAGCCACTACGTCGCCCAATCCATACAAATGGCGAGCGAGATGAGGTGGCTGGCAAGTGGCGAACACAATGGACGTAGAAGGATCCAGCGCAGTCAATTGAGGGCGAGCAGGAGGGCAGGGAGACTGCCGAGCCAGAGGGAGCAAGGAGGGGAAGGGAGGGGTGGAATCAGGACGAGCCTCTCAGCGCGGCGTCCTGCCGTCGAATGACGAAAGCCGTCGATTCAGGGTCGACGAGGCAGCAAGGGGCGGGTAACGTGAGGAAGGATGACAACTTAGAAGATAGGTCCCGACCAGAATGGAAGATGGGAATGCGATCGAGACAGAGAGGAAATTCTCCGTTCCTAGCATCAAATCAAGCAGACAAGCAGGCAAGCAGGTAAGCAAGCAGTCAATCCCCCGGCAGGTCCGGCCCGATCTGGCCGTCGGGCGCGAAGGCAGTCAGCAGTAACCACCAAGATCTTTTCAACCTCCGTAGCTAACGCAGCAAGAGAAATTGACTGGATGGCGCGCAATTTATGAGAGGTTGCGTCGCTTCAGCCTAAGTTGTAAAATCACGCAGAGGACTGAAGGGCGCGTGGGGGAGAGGCCCCAATCCGGGGTGGGGAGGGGAAGACGTGTTCGGGAAGGACCTTTCTTGTCCGACGGTCAGGAAACTTAGCAGAGGCTAGCTAAGCAGAAAGAGGTAAAAGAAAGAAGGAAAGAAGGGGAGGAATGAAGAGAAGAATTATCCGGGGAGGGGGGGAGGGGAGAAGAGAGAATTGTCAGGGATTAAGAGTCGGGCTGACTGGTCCGCATCATTTCTTCGGGATGGATGGAAATGCGAACAATGGATGAGAGGAGCGAAAACGAGAGGTAGAGAGAGACAGGTAGAGGAAATTAGAGGGACTAGAGGGCGAAAGAGAGCGAGAGAGCGAGAGTGGAGCTCAAGTGGGAGAAATGACAAGATGAGATGGATGGATGCTAAAAAAGCCCCCCTTAGGCTAGGATGACTAGACTTGACTAGGAGTAGCAGTAGGTCCGAACCCAAAGGGCGTTTTTGGACCGTGGAGGGCCAAAGCTTAAGTGGGAAATAGTGGGAGGGGGAGGAAGAGGAGATGCAGGTCGTTGATGCAGGTGATAAGTTAGAGAAGAGAGTGAGGGAGCAAAGAGGAGGGGTAGAAGAAGAAGAAGAAATCAGATGAAAAGGAGTAAGAAAGAGAGAAAGAAAAGACAGAAGAAAATAAATTGCAGTAGAAGGAAAAGAAGAGGAGGAAGATGAATGATGAATGTAGTCTGAAGGTATTGTAGGTAGTGAGCGAAGTAAGTGAGGAAGTGGGTGAGTGGAAGACCCCCCGGGGGGGGGGGGGGGGGGGGGGGGGGGGGGGGGGGAGGGGATGAATTGGGATGGGATGGGATGGAATCGGGGAGTGGGTTTGAGTGAGAGAGACGGACAAACAGGCAGACAGACAGAGAGACGGGGGGGGAAAGGGAAAAAGAGGAGAATCGACCACGGTAAGTGCAGATAAGCAAGAGGAGGCGAGACAGTCAAGCTTCTCTTGGGCCGTTCGTGGCTCGGCAGTTTCCACTCCCTCCTCGGCTGGAGTTGGAGTTGGAGCTGGAGCTGGAGCTGGCGCTGGCGCCTGGAGCACTACTAATTACATACATACAATTAATTGCCCAGATTTCATCCGCACTCTCCCTCCCTCCCTCTTATAAATCAACAATTCACACCACAATCACAACAACAACAACAACAACAGACAACCATCCCCCTCAATCAAAGATCTCCCGCAACCCCTCCCCGTCCACATACTCCTCCTCCCCATAACATTCACGCTGCACCGCCCGCAACAGCTCCCGATCGCCGCCGGTCAGCCGATCGACCAACCCTTCCAAGACATAGATATTCTCCGTCCACATCAGCGCCTGACGCCGAAACTCCTCCGTCTCCTCCACCACGCACGACAAGCTTTTCTCCTCCTCTCCTGTTCCTTTGTGTTTGTCACCGGCTCCCGAAACCGCCGTCACCTTCCCCTGCAGCTGACGAATCTCATCCTGCAACTCCACTTTCCGTAGCATTAGCCGCTCCCTCTCCTCTTCCCTATCACAAGCCTTTCCCTCATCAATACCATCGGTAGTCCCACCATCACCACCACCACCACCACCACCACCACGCCCCGCCGCCTCCCTCTCATCCTCAACCCTCTCCCTCTCCTCCGCATCCCTCCTCTCCCTCACCAACCCCTCCAACTCACGCACCTCCCTCCCCACCACCTCCACCTCCGCCTGCACCGCACGCAGCCGGTTCTCGCGCTCGCGCTTCGCCTCCCCCGCGAAACTCCAGTACCAGTTCAGACTCCCGATCTTCTCCACGTGGATCTCGTTCTCGTCCGCCAGCTCCTGGAGGAACTCCTTCACTTGGACCGCGTGGATCGAGGCCACCGCGGGCAGGGTCTTCTCCAGCTCCTTCAAGGTGTGGCAGGTGCCGCTGGCGCGGAGGTGCGCGACGATCAGGGCCTGTTTGGCGCTCTTGGGGAGTTTTGGGGGCTTGGGGGGGGGGGTTAGGTATGTAGCATTAGCTGGGTTCTTTTGGGGTTGGTGGCAGCGGATTGGGGGGATGGTCCAGGCATGGAAGTGAGGTGGAGAGCCTGAGTTCGGTGCTAGCCTCGGGGCTGTGGGGGGTGGATCCCTGTCGGCTTACCATGATTGCTAATCGCCAGGCTTGTTTTGTTTTGAGCCGTAGATGTAGACGTAGACGTAGACGTGGTCTTGTGGATCTTGGTTGGATATTAGCAGGGTTGGTTGTGTGGGATTAGGACTTTGGAGACGAATCCATCTCTGTCGAGGGGAGAGCAGGTAGATTGGTGGATGGTGATTGTGGAAGGTGGAATGATGCTGCTGTAGACAGTGGTGGTGTACCAGCTGAGGTTGCTGTAATTTACTGGGTACGGTAGGTACTGTACCTACTCAAACACTCCCGAGTCAATTGCATGGACCATCAATCAGGCACGATGTGTGCCTGAGGCTGGGGGAACAACAGTCTTCCAGGTCTGGCGAAACAAGATGGGCCGTACTGGCTGACCTACAGTAACTTACGGCCTACACCGCACTAAAGAAGAGAATCTCACGCAGGCCGAGTTGGCACTAGGACCTTTTTCAGGCTAGCAGACTTCTCAGCCCTATTGGGACAAGTACTATGACTAGTACTAGGTACCATGCACCTCCCTCGATCAGACATGCACCTCCCGGACAAAACCCCCCTCCTTGGACGTCTCCTCAATGTGGTGAATCTCATTACCCCCCTTTCCGACTCCGGCCACTCCGCCCACCACCGCCTGGTCCCCATCGAAGTGCTTCGCAATCTCCTCGAGGGGGGTGTTACGGGTCTCAATGTAGAAGAACCAGACGACCGTCAACTCGACCCCGAGCCAGACGCAGTAGAAGATGTAGTACTTCCAGCCCAGGTTGTCCAAGGCAATGGGGTTGATGTACTGGTTGAAGAAAACTAGATGGGAGTTAGTGTCGGTCCTTGGTATCTGGGGGCATTGACCATTCATGCCATCCGAAAGGGGAAAAACTCACGTGCAGCATCGATGCAGAACCACATCACCGTCATGCCCTTGGCGCGGATACTGTAGGGCAGAATCTCGACCGTGTAGCCAACCAGTAGGCCGGACCAGGCGACGTTGTAGAAGACATAGTAGATATAGATCATCGCCACGACGGCGTTGGCAGCGCCGTGGTTATGAGCAATCTCATACCGCGCCGAGCAAATGGTCCAGATGATAAATGCGACCAACATCCCAGCTGTGGAGATCAGGAAAAGCCGGCGCCGGCCGACCTTGTCCACCACAAAGCACATCGAGAGAGCGACAATGAAGTTCAAGATCTGGAGGCAGCCGTTGATCAGGTTCTGCTCGACGGACTTGGTATATCCAATGGAGCTCAGGATCTTCGCAATGTAATACGAGACCAACCCGTTGCCGGACCACTGCGAGAATAGGCCCGCAGTGATCAAGATGATCACGCGGTGGCGATTTCCTTTGGTCCGGATCAATTCCATCCAGCTGTTGCTTTCGTACTCCTTCTCCAGTCGGATGGTCTCCTTGATCTCGTGCATCTCCAGCTGGACCACTTCGTCCTCCTGGTTGCCATTGGCATGGCAGTCCGCCAGGACCTTCAGGGCCTGCTCATGTTTGCCCTTGTAGATCAGGAACCGGGGCGACTCCGGGACAAACCAGATGAAGATGATCTGCAGGATGGATGGAGCCGCCTGAACAATCGTGGGTGCCCGCCAGGACCAGTTGTTTTGGATGTTGTTCGTGCCGAAGGTGAGCCACGCGGCAATGATAGCGCCCACGTACCATGTCGCTACGGCAGGTGTCAGTATTGAATGGGTAATCAAGATAGTACGAGAGCTTACTGTTGTAAATCGTGGTGAAGACGGCACGATGTTGGGTATGCACAAGCTCCGTAATCAGCAAGGGTGAAGCACCATGCGCGATGGCGACTCCGAACCCGATCAGGAACCGGGCTGCCAGGAACATGCCATAGTTGGCACTGATGGCCTGCAATACGACGCCCAAAATCCTGAGCATATAATGAGCACAGCACAGACTCGGAACAGTAGTTTGAGGCACTCACATGATGAGGCAGCCGATGAGAACTCCCATCCGCCGGCCAAGGTAGTCCGCCGTATAGGGCACCGCAGGCAGCGCCGCCAATGAGCCCAGAGACATAATCGCACTCAGGATGCCAAGTTTTGAGCCACTGGGGTTATGGAAGTAGTCTTTCCAGTAGTACAAGGTTTGGAGACCATTCATCATCGACCCATCGTAGCCGTTCGTTGCCTGAGACCCTGTCAGTAACGTGTCTTGCACCGGGAGACCCCCGCCAGCCAAGTCTATGCACATACGGAAGTCAATACGACAAACATGAGGCAAATGTACGTCTTCCTCATGCCAGGATCCTTGTACCATGTCACTCGGGGAAACTGCTGGCCAGCGAGCTCGAAGGTCCCGGAAGAACCCATGGTGACCGTTCAATGCGTAGATTCAAAGCGTGGGAGAGGTATTGGAGGACACTCAGCCAGTTTCCTGCATAAGAGTTCAAGAGAAAAAGGACATCCTTGAGGCGCGGGAACAGGCTTAAAATCTAGTGTCTGCCAGGTTTACCATCCGGCTATTTGGCATACGAGGAACATGCCAAATGTTCATCGGTCTAGGAGAGCTCGCGAGCTCGCGGCTAAACCTAGGTAACGCCTAAACAGATGCAGTCTCCTGCGAATAGCTACACGGGGAAATAATCAGGGCCTGGCTCTAACATTATCCAAAAGGAACGACGGCCTAGTCCCAAAGTCCGGTCTGGCAGTGAGCCAACCACTGAAGGTTGGGCCGGGCCGAGAACCTAGGCATGTTTTGAAGATACTAGCTGGACGAGTCGAACAAGGTCAATCACCCTGATTCACAGACTGGAGACGTGATCTTGATTTAGGCTAAACATGGAGCATGAAGCTGGTGCCAGCGAAAGGCCCACCACGATCATCCCACCGAAATCTGGGGATGCGGTCCGGGGTACAGGGAGTGGAGGGTCTAGTTTCATCCACCCAAGCGTAAACGAGTGTCTAGTCCAGAAGTCGCAATGGCCAAGACCTTGGCCTGCGCCTCCCGGGACGGATTTGACATTGCGTTACTGTTCCCGATGATGGGCGCGACTGGAGACTGGTTGGCCACGTTGGACGAGCCCGAGCTAAATTAAAACCCTCGCCGGAGGCGTCAGAGCTAGGCGAGTGATACGCTGGCCACTTTCCACAAGCAACTTGGAACGGATAATATCATGCGCTCTCAGCTGATGGGGTGAGATGGTCACTTGACACATGCCACTGCTTGCTGACAGTGTTCCGTTTGTGGCTGTTTTCAAATTACCCAACTCGTGTTGCTGGCTATTAAGCATCTCCTGGTAAAGTGATTCATGAGTAGTTGAACCGTGCCTCGGCCATTGACCTAGACTCAGAAGTTTGCGGCCGTGGTTCAAGTCATGCGACAACAGTTTCAGGTGGCGATACAAACTTCCATGACATGACCTGGGGCTTGACCCTGCATACCGTCTAGGCCTTAAACGCAAGGACAGGGTACCTTCAGCGGCGGGGATGCGCCACGCGGTATATGCGGTGAGTATTAGCTTAAGATGGCTGGCAGTATTGGCTTTCGTAACCAAGTAGCATGCCCCCTCGATTATGCTGAGTTGCCTTTTCGCTGACGAACCTCCAATCAGCAGGAAATGGGAAGAGGTCAGTTTAGTCACAGCTTTAGACCTCATAGTAGGTCATCAAGCTCTGTGTCCATATCACTCGTCCAAGCCTTCCGAGCCAACTTGCGCTTCTTCTGTCGCTTGGCCACCGGTATTATCTCGTCACCCGAGCTGGCCATCATACTAGTCTGTGTATTCGCCCGTTTACGACCGACGCGCCGGTCCGATTGCGAAGGCAGCCGATCCTCGTCGGTAGAAATTTCCTCGCCTTCGACGAACACCAGGTCGCCCGTCTCACCCAGCGATTCTTTGGCCATCTCCTCCAACAGGATCCCCATCGCGATTAAAGCGGTCTCATCCATACTATGATGATCGTCCTGGCCGCGGTCGAGGGTCGCATGATCGTAGAGATCGGCCGAGTAGGCATGTACGGCTTCTAGCAACTCCGACGAGGGAAGCTGACGGTCGGCTGGGAGGGATTCATGGGCGAAATAGAAGTCGTTTTCCTCGTAGCGAATGGGCGCATTCTGCCGACGGAAAAGCACCTCTTCAGGGCGCACCGAACGCCTGCTCGACGAGGCTGTGTCGCGGTTCTTGGAGGCATACGGCACGGCGGGCAGAAACCCATGCGCGTTAATCCGGCCTTGACATTCGATCGTCAGACTCGACTCGCTGTGATCAAGGGTGCATGATAGAACACGCCCAACTCACCTGCTACAGCATCGTAGACCGTTGCCAATCGTCGCTGTTTGGTCACCTCCGCCTCATCCGGTCGGTCATCCTCCGGCTCGTCTCCAAGGTCGGGCGGCTTGACAAAGGCATTCTGGCTGAGCGCCAGAGATCTACCGTGCGACATAGCCATGGCCGTCAGTGCGGGACAAGCTCAACCTGTGCGAAAGCATCAGGGAAGTTGCCGCGCCACTGAAGAATGGGGGCCGTGTCTCACTGCAGAGATTCGAGACCGTCTGGATTGATTGTGTTTAACTTTGGTTTGCGACAGAGCGGGCGGAGTCGGACTCGGGCCCGCGGCAGGCGGGGAGGAACAGCTTGCCGGTTCAACATTCTTCCGTCCCCGCAGCCGAGGGAGGGACTCCTCCTGTAGCGCAAGATGGGATGAACCCCATCTCACAGTAACTGACTAGTAAACATAATCTGAATGTGAGACATCCAGATAGATGAATGAATTCCTACATCCTCAACAGGACTTTGGGGTCCATTCATCCATCCACATTCCATGTTGCGCAGACAACTCGCCTAGTCCTGAACCTTGAGCCGGCGCCCGGTATACGCTTCTCCAGCCAGCACACCACTCAATCGGCGCATGGTCGATCCCAAGAGATTCTAGATGGGTCTTCCGGCTTAGAAGAAGAAACATCCGCTCATAGAGCCGGAGTCAAAGTGCTTGCCATTGATCAGAATGAAGGCAGATTGTACGCCCCCTCTCGTCCCTAACTCCAAGCATTCATCCTGAACGCTACCTCAGCATGGTCTCCGGCGGCGCCGACCCGTCCATTCACCTCTGGGATCTGGAGTCCCGCGGATCCGAGCTAAATCATGTCCATCGCTCGGTGGCATCGGTCAACAAGGCGTCGCACGAAGATGCGCACACGCATGCGATCACATCCATCTCGATCTACCCCTTCGATCCGACCCCGTCGACGATCCTGACCACCTCGCACGACGGCACGCTCAAGCTCTCCGCCCTATCCCCGGCGGCCATCGTTCCCGTGCACACGTTCCGCCTCGACTGCACGCCGTACACGCACGCCATGTCCTCGCACCCGGGCGCGCCGCTCCTCATCGCCGTCGGAACCTCCGAGAAAGCCGTGCGCCTGCTGGACCTGCGCTCGGGGCTGTCGACGCACGGCCTGCCCGGCCACGGATCCGCGGTGCTCTCCGTCGCCTGGGCGCCGCACCAGCCGCATATCCTGGCGACCGCCTCCACGGACAACCGGGTGATCCTCTTCGACATCCGGCGCGGCGGGCACAACTCCGCCATCGCCGCGCTGCACATGGACGACGCGGTGGGCCTCGTGCGCCCCGCCACCGCGCCGCCGGCCTACCAACCGCGGCCGGCCTTCTCGCCGCACGTGCGCGCGCACAACGGGGCCGTCACGGGCGTGCGGTGGACGTCGACCGGCTCGCACCTCGTGACCGCGGGCCAGGACGCCCGGATCCGCGTCTGGGACGCGAGCACCGGGGCGAACACGCTGGTGCACTTCGGGCCCCGCGTGCGCAACAGCGTCTCCTCCCACCTGGCGGAGCGGGCGCCGCTCGTCGTCCCGCGGGGTCTCATGGCGGCGGGCCAGGAGACGCTCCTGTGGCCGAATTTCAACGAGCACGACGACCGCGGCGAGATCTACATGTTCGAGCTCCGCGAAGGAGCGTACATCAAACGGCTCCGGGTGCCTGGACTGGCGACCACCGGAGGACAACAAGTCCGTGGCCGTTCGACCGCATTGAGCGCCGCCCGGATCAACTCGCTGGCCTGGCGCGGCAACGGGGCCTCCGGCAAGGGGATCGAGATGTTTTCCGCCCACGGCGACGGCACCATCCGCAGCTGGGTGTCACGGGAATCCGAAGGGGAGCCGGACGAAGCGGAGGAGGCCGAGCGAGCCGACCGCAAACGCAAACGCGATGTGCTGGACGAGATCTACCGTGGCTTTATCGGTTGATCATGCTGGGCTATAGACATATACACTACTAACCCACGCACATACAATGATATAACTGTTTTATGTCCAACTACGACGCGGACGGATATTGACAATGATAATGATCATATCAGGCGGATCTTCATTATACAACAAGCAAGACCCGTCCACAAACAAAGGCTCTATAATACAATAAATCCATCATTCCATCCATCACAAAATATCGTTACCCATCAAAGAGCCGCATACCAGCCGCGACTCAATTTCATCCCAGACCAAAAACAAACCGTCATAAAGAAAAGCATGGATCCGTGTTTACTCATTCCGAATCTGATGCTCCCCAGCCGCGTCATCCTCCTCCGCCGCGAAGCGCTCGAAGCCACTGCGGTTCAGGTTGCGGTGCTTCAGGTCGCGGCCGTGGCCCTTGGCGCCGGGGTGCTGGTTGCCGATGAAGGTGCGCTTGGACTCGCCCTCGGCGGGGAAGGAGTTGCCGGTGCCGGTCAGGACCTCGCCGGTGGCACCCATGTCGCGGGCGCTGCGCGGCATGTCGGTAGCGTTGTCCGCCGCGAAGGCGGCGGAGGGCTGGGCCACGCCGTAGTTGTCGAAGCCGCCGTGCTCGGCCCGCTGGTCCGGGCGCGGCACCGAGGGGATGGTGTTCTGGAGGCCCGCGTCGTTAGGGATCGTGGTGCCCGAGGGGGCCATGTCCTCGAGTCTGCCGCCGCGGTGAGGGGAAGACATTTCTGGTGCTGGTTTTTGTGGTGGAAAGAAGAAAGAGTTGGTTTCGAGTGTGAAATAAAGGTTTTCCTTTCGTTTGGAACGTTACAGCGTGATGCTTGATAGCTTTGAAATTGCTTTAATCAATTCCACCGTGCAATTTCGCCAGGGTTTATATAGAGTTGATTGCAGCAATGGTGGTAGGTTCAATCTGATGTCACTTTTCGCCCTCGAGCATGGGTCAATGATGAAGCTATGATATCAGATCGATCCCCCATGCCATCACCCTATTGTTCGTGTTCGTCCTGCATTCAATTCGATTCCCAATTTCCCCCCCCCCCCCCCCAAAAAAGTGGAGATTATGATAATATGATGAAACACCTCCGCTCGGAACCTGAATTGTCGAGTCCATGATTTGGGATGCATGTTACAGTCATGGAAAAAGTAGAGATTCTAGAATTGACTCTTAGTTGGTGTTGAATTAGGGCGTAGTTGCCGCCTTGCCGGTCTACCAATCAACTCGACGGGTGGCACGTGCTGCTACAGTTTGATTTTTAGAACTACTGACAACTTGGATTATGAAGCATGGCATAGTTAGTTCCTAACACTTTTCAAAATTGCCCAATATCGCCGCGGTTATTATCGCTGATGTCATGGTTAGAAATGACTAAGCCAGCCGACCCTTTCTCGGTCGAAATGCGATGCGTTCGTTTTGCCACGGATGAGAAGCTGCTAGCTCCAATGAGAAGAGGCTGTACGGCTGGAGCACTCTGTGCCTGGCAATGCATTCGGACATGCCATATATTCCAAGTCTGAAGGTGGTGCTTTCAGGAGCTCACTAACTGTAGCTAATGGTGTAGAGGTACACAGTCTAGACGTATACACGATCAAATGCTTTAACGGGCCGGAATGTCGTACTTCAATTATACAACTAAAGCAATCCAAAGTCCACATAATAATGGGAAGGCAACGATCAGGGATATGTGATCAAAGAGGAAATGTGAAAGAGAGCATGCAGTCAATAAATCATACAAAACGTAAGCACATCAAATTGAAGATTTGGGTTTTTGAGTTTATGGCCAAGAAATACAGGCCCTGGTGTAAACAATCGTCATAAGCAAAGCCAAACACGTAAAAGCAACTCCAGTAACTCCTGGCCCGGGGTATGGGGGTATGTCTGTCTGCGTCCTCGCAGTTATCGCCGCTCGTTCAATGCTGCCGCCAAGAAATGAAAATCGCTCGTCATGGTTGTCCGGCCCAGCGGTCAACATGATAGTGGTATATGTAAAGGTCAAATGACTGTATGAAACAAAAATCCGATGGGTAGATCAAGGCAAACAATGTAATGTCTAGGGGGTATCTGGACTTTTTCCTGAAGTGTGCAGATAGGTGATGAGGCGTAGAATGCCGATAGCCAGCTCGTGCATCCTGTTTCTCTCGCGCGAATAGGTCTTCGCTCTTCTCCCAGGTTCGTGGGCCAAGTTTATCGGATTCTTCGGGTCGGTTGTGTTCTCAAGCCGGCTTGAGTAAAGATCCCTTCAAGGGATAGAATAGAATGTAACGAGATGCGATCCCGTCGCAGAATAATGGAAAGGGTAATTAGTAATTTCAGAGAAGGAGATAATCCCAGCCGTTTTGCTGCATCACTTCCCGCCAGTGGATGAACGGTTTCTTCACTTCCTCTGCATCCCAGTGTGCAGGACTTTCCTTCGGAGACTCGGACTTCTCGCGCTTGACGGGGCTGCTGCTGCCGTTTGCTGAAGACGAGGGGCTAGCATCCTGGCTCGGTAGGGGCTCGATAGGCTCGTCTGACACCCGCCACACTTCTTTTAGAACTCGGTACATGCGGCCAAAACTGCCCAAATCTGCGTGGTCGCCAAGAGCAGCGGCGCGGTCGGCGAGAACGTTGCGGAAAGAGCTGTTCGGCGCGGAAAATGCCCCTGCGATAAGCAGAGGCCAGACCACCGAACGATCGAACCCTTCTGGTCCAGATGGAATGTACTGAATAGAATTGGCAACCGCTGCAACCAGATTAGCGTTACTTGGCTGGTGACGGTCAAATCCAGGAACCAGACTGCAGAGGTAGATCCTGGCTGCGAGTCGGAAAATCGCCGTGATGTTGTTGGTCAGGACCGTTGGGGAGAAAGCTCCATTGGGCAGGTACGGGCTCTCCAAGGACTGGTTCGGCGATTCCGTGAATTCCAATTGTTGTCCCAGGGCGGAAACGTGAGAGCAGACCGCCAGATCATCAATCCTTCCCTCCCTTTTCAATGCCTCCAAGCAAGTGATTTCTGAAATCAAGTACATGACGCGGTCATCGCAGCCCATGAGTTCACGTAAACCCAGAGATGATCCACTGAGGTGCTTGGAGCGATACGTATGTGCGAACTCGGGTGTCTTTCCGTGCATGGTAGAGCCTAGGATGTCGATCCAAGAAGCCAATGTCATAGTGAACGGAGGCGGCATGTATGGGTTCCCGCAGGGGGGTACAGGCGACGATAGGCCCAGTCGGTTCACCAAGTTGGATGCGGCTTGGAAGTGATCGAACCATGGGATATCCGGGAGATAATCGTCCGCGGGACCCACGGAACAATGGAAGAAGATCATGGCAAGAGTTGCATCGAGAATCTCTTCGTGGTTAGTGTCCTCTCCGAGAGCCAAGCAGAGCTGTGAAACTGCCTCGAAACGGTTGCGCATGATATCGTGATCAATCTGCTCTCCAACAATACCTTCTGTCGTCTTTCGGTGGATAGCGGCCACACTCAAGCAGCAGTGAAGGTAGCACTTGTTCGTTTCCAAAGCCTGAAGAATGGCTTGAGCTCGGACATGTCCGCGTTGGTGAGCTTCCAGCACGGGAAAGATAATGCGGAGAACATTGTAGATGAAGTGATCGAGAAGCGGGCGGTCATGATCACTGACGGGTATGCTTGACTGCAGAATCGCGTATGTCTGTCCGATAGTTTGCTCGCAGAGTGCTGGATCGAGTCCCGGAAGCGTAGGAATCTGCGCGAAATATTCATCCTGGAACCAATCCTCTCCAGGGAAGGTGGGTAAGGGAGCGTTCAGCTGGGGAGGAGCAAATGTGCTGAATGTTGAGCTGCAAGAATCGTGGCGTAGTGGAACGTCGTTGATGAATGTCTGTCGCTCCGTCTTGACATCGATTTCGTAAGGGTGTGGCAGTCCATAGATATTCTGAGTAAAGGCCGGAGTAGGCAGATGGGATGCGAAGATATCATACTGCTCTGGATAAGCAGGTCGACTAAGCTCGTACTCTGGAGATGTGGGTGACGGCACGGCCATACTGCGGTTGCGGGCCGAGGGATCTATGGCACACAAAGGCTGGTCAGATGGCTATGCCTCAATGAGTTCCACAGAAACACTGACCACCAGTCAAAGCTCCATTGCGCTCGTTCATCTTTGTTTGCTTGATCTTGTTCTTGATGCGCTCCTTTTGAATCCTCCTTTGCTCAGCATTGCCCCACCAAACAGGGCGTTTGTATTCACATTTGACACAGAGGTTGATGCAGGCGCTACATGATGGGTGCTTCTCGTCACACTTCTTTCTGCGTAGGCGGCATGTGAAGCAACCTGAATGAGAAGCACTGTTGTTAGCCAGACCTTCACGATACCGTCAAGGTACATGTCAGTGGCAACGTACCGGACCGTGAACGCTTATGCAGCTTCATTGGAAGCTTGTCCGTCGCTCTTGTCGATGTACCCTCACTACTAGAAGACGGCTGAGAAAGGTCTTCAGCTTTGATTGGAATCATTGTGGTAGGTGATGAATTCTTCTTTGATGGAACGGGCATGGTTGCTATTGTATCGTGGCGCAGGGTAGGGGACTCGACTCGAAAGGGACAGGACACAGGAGCGTGGCGAATGAATGCTGGGATATGCGGACTATTAAGGGCAAGACTGAACCAGCAGCCTTTGGTGTCTAACTGGGGTATTAGAGAACGAAAGGCGCAGGCTGCAAAGGACGAGACGGCTAGAGATAACGCTGGGAGACGGTGGTCCACACTCGATGTTGATATGATCGGTGGGCATGAAGGAAGCTTTAAAGATGAAAGTAGTAGGTCGATCTGGAATGAAGCAGGCCATGATGTTTCTATTTTAGAATCGATTCCGGACAACCGACAGGGCCGTGAGCACACATGCGCATATCGGGGAAATTGCGGTGGTGGGAGTCGAAGCCATAGATTGGGTGGGGAAGGAGGGAAAGGATGATCGTAGCCAGACCATGCATGGACAAGGAACCGGCCACCAGACGCTCCAAGGCTAATTTTGGATCATTTTGCAAGATACTACTCCGTACACTTCTGGCCATTGACTTGGCGCCCATGGCCGCCCTCTGCACAACTGATTGGATCACGCACGATGTCAATCTTGCCATGGAAGCAATCTGTTGAACGCTGCTTGTGCCAGGTTAATTTTATCCTGATGTCGGGTTCCTGTCCTACAAGCAGACGTTCTCGTCCTACGTAGCCTCTCAAATCGGAGAGACGAGTGTAACATGATCAGAGAATCTTCTCGAGAGAACCTCCTTCACTCCAGAGCGGTATAGCAACTGGTGCTATGAAGGGGACTTTCTCGCCCTTTTCGACTCGAGAAAGAAGCGTGGCGACCAACAAGCGGCACGCCGCACGATTCCGATTGCCCTCCATCGATACCCATACGACGCATTTTGCGATGCGCCAATGGCAGGGTCATCTGCAGGCTGGACTAAGTGACTTGACGATGTCAACCTGAAAGGAGTGATATTTACCCGAATGGGAAAATGCATTGGAGAAAATCAAAGGATACCTACAGAGTACGTATGTAGCCGTTGATAGCGCGGGGACATTCCAATGCCAACCGACTAATTGCCCCCTCTTCTCTTCTCGCGAGAAAATTCCCACTAGAGACAGACCAGGAATCAGAGCCCTGCCTTGCGCACAAGGGTCTCAAGCACCTTGGAACCAATCAGACTACAGATTGGCAGTCATGCCTGGTCATCTCTCATAGTACTCCGTACCTAGACTAGACTACCTATAATTTGGCAGGTTTGCGGGGAGAGGAGAGATTTGATCAATATTTCATCGAGTTGAGCACCTACAGTAGTGGAAGCGCTACCTTCGGAGCTAATTTAGCGTGTTGAGCCAAGCTTCCTGCATTTGGAGACAATTGGTCGACATCTTCCTGGGTCTTGACAGAGCGGGACAGCCGCAACCAACCGTGCGTGGGTGGGTCGGCCCTTTGATGCCCCGTGCAACCAGAGGAAGACCAAAGGAAGTTGGCGCCAAGGTGTGATAAGATGGCGCTAGCCTCTCAATCCCGACCAAAGTCCCTGACAGGAGGGGGAGCGAGAGAGCGCTGAGGGGGTGACGGGCTGACGAGCTGACAGGAGTGAATTGATATGATTGCTCCTCCTCCTTAATTAGTATCAATTAGCCGCCCGCACCGACTTCAATTGCCTAGATTATCTCTCGGTCTTCCATAATTAGTATTCTTCGCATGGCTTGCAACTGGTCTTTCAGGCCCACACAGGTGGTCTTATCCGCATTGACCGCTAAAAACCGTGCGTTCTCATGATCTGATCCTGAGGAAGATCGAGCCGTGCGAATGAATTCCCAGGTGGGGAGAAAGGTGACTGGGGGAAGCTAAAGGCATTTTTGACTTTAGCTGTTCTGCAACCAAGGTGTCCCAGTCACACCTCCTCTTTTGGCACTCAATCACTTATCTGAATGGCTGTACTGTACCGGTCCCGAACCACCTTCAGGCGAATCGTTGCCCGTGATTCATGTACTTATTGTACAGGACATCAACTGAATATTTTCAACTGCACTTTCTCAGCTGGGTGTTGCTTATTGTTGATTGAGACATATGTCTTGGGATCAATACTATTGATTATGCGGTCAAAACAACATTGGTTCTGGGCCTGGCAGCGTCGGTGGGCATCACAATCCCGGAAGCGAGTCAGCATGTTGTGTGGGTGTCACGACGCTTCTGCCGTTTCTTGTCACATTCCTGCAGCTACAGCCTGCATCCCTCGCGAATCGAATAATTAGCGTTCTTTCGCTTCCCTGTCGATTGATATTCCAGCCAATCAGATGCGCCCAACATGAGGTCACTTCCTGCCACTCTGTTGTGTGCCCGTGACATGTACACATTCCTTCTGCAGTCGATATCCCGCGGCCCGGTTGCAACTCCATCCTTGAATCTACTGTAAGTGCTATTTATCCGCGAGAAATCACTGCGTAGTTTGTATCTTTAGCCCAACATCTGGGAGACAAATTATTGCATCAACTCTCCTGACAGAATCAGCTGTAGCCCTAGAGATGATACCAGAAATTACGAACTCGGCCGAGTCAACCTGAAATTCCGGATCATTCTGTTCTGTGCATAGCGACTCCGGACAAAGGTAACTTAATTGATGGGGTGACAAATACGCGAAAATGTAGCCGACGAATGATTTTGCCCAAGCTTATCCCCGGCATATTTTGAGGGCATTGGTCGGCAGGTATTCCTAGTATCTCCGAGCGAGGAAAACTGCGCCGTGATACGTCACTCGTCTATACAACTTACATCTCTGTCCATCAGGCGGGGTAGGACAGGCTTTGGCATAACATCTGCCTGCCAGCATCTACCAAAATCCCCATCACTCGATGCACTCGTGCGGATTTCCGATCAAACCTCAGGAACCCAATGCATCGATCAAAATAGAAACATGCCCACCCCTAAGCGTTACGAGCTGTGTCTTGAATAAGTGTCAACTACTTGCAGTGCTTCTAACCGCCGTGTTGTATAAAGCACTCTTTCCGGGCGTCTAATAGGTAAATTTTGCCATGCTTTGGTCGAAGGCAGAAGATAATGGACTACCTCCGTCTCATGAAGGATCTATTTTAGGGCGAAAGCCTGGCAATTACTTGCTCGATCTGACGCTACTCTATCAGTTTAGGATCGTAGTTGCATAATCAACACATTCTATTTTCCGGTTACTGCATCAGCCTTGTCCCTCACCATACTTTTCCCTAGTGTACTGGCGCTCTGCGTGTAGCCGCCGAACACATTCTTAGAGATTTATCACTCACAGGTGCAAGGCCACGAGGGTCGTGCTTTTAACATGCTAGCACTCGCAGATCGGCGCGTACACGAAATCTGCCATTGGACTTTTTATAATTGGCATAATTAACGATTCCAGTCTGTGGGGACTTAGGGGCCTGTCTAACTCCCAAGATTTCCTTCAATGTCGCTGAAAATAGCCTGATGGTTTTCTTCTTGATCTTTGGTGTTAATTCAGGAATTCTAGAAGAAAGGGCCCGGTTTCATCGTCATCCGGAACAGAGACATGGACTGGCTATGGTCTTCTTTCGGCGTCAGCCTTGATGCCGCTAAGATGCGTGTGGCAGATGTACGATATTTGGTCAGTTATTCCACTCTGCCTTGTGGGAAAGGAATCGCTCGTTCTGTGCACCGTACCTGATGTGAAATACGTGCATTTAGGTGTGCATTCAGGTGTAGGAAGTATGTGAAAAAGTGTAACAGTATCCAGCTGGCGGCACTGCGCAGGATATAGCGTACGGAAAACTCAAGTTTGTAACTTATTTACTGTAGACCTAATATAAAATGTACTTGCTCGAAGCTTGGATGTTTAAAATTCCTTCATGCTTCCCTAAAGAAAGCCTCAAGTCCGTCGAGTGCTTAAATATTCGCGCAGCTCCCTGCTTTAGTGTGAGACTGCGAAACTATACATATATATTGGTCCAGCAACGACATGCTTTCCGGCGCTCGATCAAACCTACGCCCCCATCTTGTATGCTCTTGAGCATAAACAATCTCATTCGAGGCTAGCATAGACGAATGGAAGCTGTTGCCGGATGTAAATTCTTGAAATTGTGGCTTATTGAGGCTGCCGGACACTTTCAATAGGGAACTGTACTGTAAACTCCAGCCGCACTCTCATTGGACAGGGCCGGGCTTCTCCGCCAACTGTCGGGATCTATGATCCAATCCGCTCAAGCTCCAACCTACCTCCGCATTCCACTGCACCTTAATAATCGTCTTACTATTCATCCAGGTCGATCTTCTCTCTACCGTCAGCGTGCGACTAAGCTACGTCGATATCTAAATTTGACCGTCATGCTACATCAAACCATAGAGCGAATGCTCTCTCGCGTAGTTCCCCAGGCAAACCAGCGTTCTTACATCGCATTGCAAAGCCGTATTACCTCGACCAGGACATTCGCAAGCCATACCTCACGCTTCCGATCTGTCTCGCGAAACGTCCATCAGCCACAGAGCCGTACGTTCTCAAGCTCCGGCCGTAGATGCAGCAATGGGAGCTACAACCGATTCAACAACTCAGGCCGGGGCCCACGGGCGCCGCCGTTGATTTATCACTTGTTGTCGCGGGCGCGTACCGAGCATTTCGTGATAATAGGCCTTGGCGCATCGGCATTCTACTACTATAATACCGAGGTAGTCGAGGTGAGTCGGTTCTACCTTCTCAGCCTCGAACCATGCACTGACAACTGCTTCTCAGATGACTGGCCGCCGGCGGCTCAACTTCATATCCGTGCAACATGAGCTGGAGCTCGGAGACCAAGCCTATCGAGAGATCCTCGCGGAGCATCGAGATCGCATACTGCCAGACTCTCACCCACATGCTAAGGTAGTGCGCCGTGTACTCGAGCGACTCATTCCTCAGGCGCGCGTCGAGGGCGCCCAGTGGAGAGTCCACGTCATCAAAGCGGACGATGTCAGGAATGCTTTTGTTCTTCCCGGGTAGGATCTTTCTTTTCCTTCTCGCGTCATCCAGTGATGGCATGCG